AATGATTATGGAAGGATGCTAGAGAACCAAGTTAGTATTGAAAATCAATACTACAAAGAAAGAGGCCCTAGCCCAGGGGTGGGCAACCCCTGGCACGCGTGCAAACATGGCACACCTGTAACTTTTGCTGGCACGCGAAACCCTCTCTTATAATCTTCCATTTACAATCGTGAATCTTCGTTCTCAGTGATGAATTGTGTTAAGTCTCACAATAGGAGTAGCCTGACGGATGAAAGTAGTAGCTCGCGCATATCTCTGAAGGTCACGAAATATAAACCTGATGTAAAATCTCTGTCATCAGTGATGCAGCAGCAAAAGTCCCACTGATAATATCAAATGGAGTTATAAAGTTTTCTGTCAGACTATCAGTGTATGTGTATACATTAAAAATAAATGTATTTTTCATCATCATATACTGTGTTTTTGTCGCTCGAATGAATTTTATTATTTCTTCAAGGTTCTTCACAAACGTACACCTTAAGAGATATCAAGTAGGCGTACCATGTTCTCAAAAAATTAGGGTTGGCAGACAGAAGAATTTTGAGTCAGAGATTTTGCTGGTTTTGGCACGCACTCACAAAAAGGTTGCCCACCCCTGCCCTAGCCGATTTGGCTCAGTGAATAGAATGTGGGACTGCGACCAAAGGGTCCCTCCTGGGTACAATTCTGGTCAAGGGCACGTACCTAGGTTGCAGGTTCCTCCCCAGCCCGAGTTCTGGTTGGGATGCATGCAAGAGGCAACCAATCAGTATGTTTCTCTCACATTGGTATTTCTCTCTGTCTCTCCCTCTCTCTTCCACTCTCTCAAAAAATCAATGGAAAAACATCCTCAGGTGAGGATTAAAAAAAAAAAAAGAATCAAGTACTTCCCTGTCTTTCCTGTATGAACTGCAATTGAGAGTCCAAGTAGAAGATCTGGGGAAGTTTCTCTCTTTTTTAAAAAAAAATATATATATATTATTGATTTTTTCACAGAGAGGAAGGGAGAGGGATAGAGAGTTAGAAACATCGATGAGAGAGAAACATCGATCAGCTGCCTCCTGCACACGCCGCAGTGGGGATGTTGCCCACAACCAAGGTACATGCCCTTGACTGGAATCGAACCTGGGACCTTTAAGTCCGCAGGCCGACACTCTACCCACTGAGCCAAACCGGTTAGGGCAGAAGTTTCTCTTTATAGTAGTTTTCCAAGTGATACATGAAGAAGGAATAACAGAATTAGAATATCACCATTTTCAACCCTTTCCTGAATTCATGAACCTAGGTAACCATCACCGAAAAAGAGAAATAACCAGACATCACTGTGATTACTGAAAATAACCGTGAGAGAAAGTATACAACACCATCATCTTGACCAACCAAACCAAACAAAAACACATCAAATCTGAATTTTCCTCTCTTGCCCCCTCCAAGAAAGAGCACATTTCTCTTCCCCTTGACCTTAGGCTTAGCCAAGTATCTTACTTTAGTCAACAGGATGTTAGCAGGAGCTTAAAATGTGTTTCAGTGGTTAGGTTTACTCTCTTATACCAACTGGTCCAAGGATGAGAACCATGTGGACCAAGAATATAGCACAGAGCCACTCAGCTGATTACAGCCCATGTTAGATAACTCCCAAGCAGCCTACAAATGCACAAGCAGAACAAATGCTTGTTGTTGTTTGCCACTGTAATGTTGTAGCTGTTTGTTACTCAGCAATAGCTAGCTGATGCAAAACACTGAGGACTAGGTGCTATGGACCACTTAAAGACTGTCTTTAAGGTTTTCCACAACAATTGACAGTATCTACTAAAAACCAACTAGCCAGGCCCTGTGCTAGGTGCAGAGGATGGAGATTCATAAAATATCTTTTCCCAGAGAAAACTCCCATTCTAGTGCGAAAGATGGACTCTGATCAAATGATCATAAAATAATGTGATATGGGGTTCACCAGCAGAGTGAACTAAGGGTCTAACTCAGTCCAGAGGAGTGAGTCTTCACTAAAAGAGGAGATTGAAATGGAGGCCTGAAGGATAAACATTCATTTATCAAGTAGAGAAGATGATAAAGACCTTATGCAGAGGACAGATGTGTACTGAAGCATTAAATGTCAAAGCCTGTGGGGAGTTCAAGTGGCAGTCATAGCTGAAACTAGTCTCATGTAGACAGCAATTCAGAATGAACATCAATGCTGGTCAGCTAGAGTTTTTCCTATGCTAAGAATCACTGAAGTCATCACAATAAGATTAACTTAAGCCCTAATTTACTATTTTCATAATTAGACTTTAACTGATGTTTACTTCACTATAGAAAGTTCCTATGATAATGATGTATGAAGGACATTCACTTTATTATCCTACTAGAGGCCCAGTGCATGAAATACATGGGGGGGGCGGGGGCGGTGTCCCTCAGCCCAGCCTGCTCCCTCCTTACCGCTTAGCTGCACGCTGCTCCTTGCTGCTCCTTGCTACTCGGCTGGCTGCTTGAGGTTCCTGCCACCAGCACCGCACTCGCCTACTGTGAGCCCCATTGTGGCTGAGCGGTGCTCCCCCTGTGGGAGCGCACTGACCACCAGGGTGTAGCTCAGTGATGGCAAACCTGTGACACGCGTGTCAGAGGTGACACGCAAACTCATTTTTTGGTTGATTTTTCTTTGTTAAATGGCATTTAAATATATAAAATAAATATCAAAAATATAAATCTTTGTTTTACTATGGTTGCAAATATCAAAATATTTCTATATGTGACACGGCACCAGAGTTAAGTTAGGGTTTTTCAAAATGCTGACAGGCCAAGCTCAAAAGGTTCGCCATCAATGGGGTAGCTCCTGCGTTGAGCGTCTGCCCCTGGTGGTCAGTACACGTCATAGCGACCAGTCATTCTGGTCATTCTGTCCTATGGTTGCTTAGGCTTTTATCATATAGAATATAGATTTGTAACATTAGCAGCAAAACCAGCTCTGGGAGGACTTCCAGAGCATCAACAAAGAAATACTCTTTGAGTTATGCCATGACAGCGCTGGAAGGCCACCATAGGCAAAGGTGACTCTGCAAACCAAGTAAGTGCAAACAAAAGAAACCCCCAAGTCCTAACCGCACAATCCCCAGGAAACAAGAGCTGGGAAGCTCTTCTGGAAAGAAGTCAGAAACGGAAAGTGTCCCCTGAGTCCAGTTTTCAGCGGGCAGCCTCGGGCAGAGGCACAAGGACAAACAGACGTCACTTCAGGCAGTTTGCAGAGTCAGTGATGTCACATCGGAACGCTGACAAGCCTGCACACGGCTGCAGTTAGGAGCCAATAGCAGCAACTCTGAGGTACGAGAAGATAACCGCCAAGAAGCAAACGACTCCACCTGGGACGGCCAGAACCTCGCACTGCCTGATGCGCACCTAACTTTCACATCCCCAAAGGAGAAGAGTGGGAGGCGGCTCGAGCGGCGCCCTCCACGCCCCACGGTCGCGGAAGAAACCCTGGCAACGCTTGCAACGTCCAAGTCCCAGCACAGGCAACCACGCGGGTCCCCAAACAAGGCGCTAGAACCAGGCTGGGAGATATGCAGCGAGAAGAAACCTGGGAAAGGAACTAAAACAGAAGCAGGAAAGAAGCGAGGGGGGCAGAGGGGAGCGGTCCCGCCCATCCGACCCGCGAGCTGGCAGGTGCAAGCAAATGTCTAGAAAGAGGTTTTCTACTTCGCTCGGAGTTTCCCAGGAACTCGGGCGTGGGCTGCCCCTTCCCGCGCAAACCCACCTGGCTCCCCTCTTCTGATGGGACCCTTAGGGGAAGCAAGGAGACACCTCTGGGGTGGCTCCCGACGAAACTGTGAGGGGAGCATGCCTGCCGACCGCACGCCCCACCAAGCGAGGGGAGGGGCCCCGCGCAAAGGTGAGGCGGGTGGGCTCTGCCTCACCTGCTGCAGGAGCTTCCACCGGG